TCATCCAACAAGAAATGTCTGTTAGACATGCTGAGATGCGAGCAGCAATCGTCGGATCATCAGGATGGAATGAGAGGTAGAGTTGAGTGTCATCAGCATAGCAGTGATATGAAAAGCAATGTTTCTGAATGACAGAACTTAGTAATAATTGAACTGTGTAAATGAAAAAGGAAATTAGTCTGGGTATTATTTATTAATTAAAATCAAAGCTAGCATTAATTTTTATTTTCATGTTGCCTTAAATGACAGTGAATGGGGGGCAAACAAAGTCCCTTTGAAGCAAGTCATTTCAGGCTGGTCCAGCTATACACACTAATATGTAGAAAAATGTACTTACCATTTTTTTTTTAAATTAATTAAACTGCATATAAAATATCCACCCATTTGGATTATTCCAACCACAGCTTTAACATAAACTAATAAACATAACGTAAAGCATATTTATCAGTCAAACAGAAATGAAGTGGGTAAGATTTCTAATACTAGTGAAACTGAATGCATTTTAAAAACACAATGACCAGGTTTATATATTTATTATCAATAAAGTCAATTTCTCATACATTTTAGCTAATTTAATTTTGCTTGATGATAGCCATATTTTAAACATGTTCATACTGCATTTTGAAAAAAATTATAATTTAAATCAAATCAAATCAAGTATTTGATAATGCTTTTTATTTTTGTTTTATTATTGTTTATTTATTTTTATTTATTTTTTTGTTTAATACGGTAAAGGAGTGTAGAGCCAGTGGTGGTTTTGTAGGGAAACATTAATGCTTTGAATTTTATGCGAGCAGCTACTGGTAGGCAGTGCAAATTGATAAACAGAGGTGTGACGTGCATTCTTTTCGGCTCGTTAAAAATCTTATTTTCATGTTGCCTTAAATGACAGTGAACGGGGGGCAAACAAAGTCCCTTTGAAGCAAGTCATTTCAGGCTGGTCCAGCTATACACACTAATATGTAGAAAAATGTACTTACCTTTTTTTTTTTTTTATTAATTAAACTGCATATAAAATATCCACCCATTTGGATTATTCCAACCACAGCTTTAACATAAACTAATAAACATAACGTAAAGCATATTTATCAGTCAAACAGAAATGAAGTGGGTAAGATTTCTAATACTAGTGAAACTGAATGCATTTTAAAAACACAATGACCAGGTTTATATATTTATTATCAATAAAGTCAATTTCTCATACATTTTAGCTAATTTAATTTTGCTTGATGATAGCCATATTTTAAACATGTTCATACTGCATTTTGAAAAAAATTATAATTTAAATTAAATCAAATCAAGTATTTGATAATGCTTTTTATTTTTGTTTTATTATTGTTTATTTATTTTTATTTATTTTTTGGTTTAATACACAGGTGCATTCAAGAATAGGTAATGAAAAGCAATGCCTCTATAAAAGACAATTGACTCTTAACTAAATGATGGAACTGCTATACATTACTTTAGCTGACATTTTCAGCATTATGATTCCTCACATTAATTTTTCTACCAGTGATATGTGACCCTCTTTATACTGTCTCTGAGGTTAGATGAAGATGAGAAGTAATGGTTGTGTGGAGTAACAGCGCTGATGTGGTAGCAGAGGTCACAGGTTTAATCTCCAGTTGGGGCAACCCATGAAACAAATCAAATCAAGTATTTGATAATGCTTTTTATTTTTGTTTTATTATTGTTTATTTATTTTTATTTATTTTTTTGTTTAATACACAGGTGCATTCAAGAATAGGTAATGAAAAGCAATGCCTCTATAAAAGACAATTGACTCTTAACTAAATGATGGAACTGCTATACATTACTTTAGCTGACATTTTCAGCATTATGATTCCTCACATTCATTTTTCTACCAGTGATATGTGACCCTCTTTATACTGTCTCTGAGGTTAGATGAAGATGAGAAGTAATGGTTGTGTGGAGTAACAGCGCTGATGTGGTAGCAGAGGTCACAGGTTTAATCTCCAGTTGGGGCAACCCATGAAATGAACGGTTACCAGGATACCCATCATGTTCTGTCACCACAGTGCCCTTGAGCCCTTAACTCACGGTTGTACCGGAATACTTGCATTATTACAGGAACCTGTCCTTATTGTAGGCCTTTCTGTAAGATAAAAGGAAGCAATCTTGACTTGGGAATTTAATGCAAGGTTGTATCTCTCAGAAATGAGCCAGGTTAAATGAACATGCATTATTTTGTGATTGTGTAATTTTGTGTGTGTTTAGTTCATTTAGGGTGGTCCTGGCCTTTATGGCTCTCACAGCACCAGTCCCATTTCTTGATGTGTTTCTCCACCTGGACCATTCAGGCCTACACACGCACACACATATGAATGTAGCCTGGAGGAACCATGTCTGTGTATGTGTACAGTATGTGTTCTCCATCATCCTTCAGCTGAGAGGAAAAGAAACAGAAAAGTGGGATAGTAGCAGGTGAAAATGTGTGTACACTATGTGCTTGTTTCCATTTACACTCAGGTTCTGAAAGGGGTTTTTCAAAATGAAAAACCATTTTGGGTTCCCCAAAGAAACGTTCGGTGAACACTTCTGAAAATAAACTTTTGTTCTTAGTCTGAACATTTGAATAATCTGAAGAACCTTTTTAGTCTGAACATTTGAATAATCTGAAGAACCTTTTTAGTCTGAACATTTGAATAATCTGAGGAACCTTTTTCCACTATAAAGAACCTTTTGTGGAATGGCAAAGTTCCATGGATGTTAAAGGTTCTTCATGGAACCATCAAAGTCAGGCATGAACCTTTATTTTAAGAGTGTATGCAAAGGCATAGTAACCACTGTCACCCCATTTCTACATGAAAAATCTACGCAAAATCAGAATTGACCCTAGTATACTTTCCTAATTTATTTTCCTGAGGAACCTTTTTCCACTATAAAGAACCTTTTGTGGAATGGCAAAGTTCCATGGATGTTAAAGGTTCTTCATGGAACCATCAAAGTCAGGCATGAACCTTTATTTTTAAGAGTGTATGCAAAGGCATAGTAACCACTGTCACCCCATTTCTACATGAAAAATCTACACAAAATCAGAATTGACCCTAGTATACTTTCCTAATTTATTTTCCTGGTCTTATTGTGAATGATTCCACATGCGTGTTATTCCAAATCTTTAAAAAAAAACGGTCTTTGTGATATTTTACCCAAATATTGAAAAACGACTTTCAGACGACCTTCCTTTTTTCTCTTTTCCTTTATCCTTTTTGCTCATGTCACTTAGGCTATATGGACTAATGGATAATGTTATCCAATAGCCAAATTGTTTCAGTAAACTCGCATTCAGTCCTGATAAAATAATGTCCTGTCTGCCCTTTTTTGTCTCATTGAATTTCCTGTTTCAATCTGAAATATGTCAATTTAAATAGGTTGTAAATGGGTATTCACTTTGAGTTTAATCATTTGTTACTTTATTCATTATTTTTCCTGCTTAAGATATCCAGTTACATTTTAAATCATTCTTGCACCTGTGCATGTGTGTTATTGTCTGTTTCTGTGTGTGTGAAGCCAATGGAAAACAAAGGTTTACATTATATGCTGCTGACGACATGAGGTCTCCATGACAGCTTATGGTAAGTATCATATAACATGGGCCAGCTCTCTCTCTCTCTCTTTATATCTCACTTCCTCTATCTCTCCCTCTCACAGTGAAACTTGTTACAGAATCTGGGATTATTGTGATTTCAGGTACCAGACACCTAGAAAAAGAGAGCTTGATGAAATCATATTTGCTGACTGTTTCCCTCTAGAGTGTCGCCACTCAGTCGAAAGTGTGTAGTGCAGCTCACATTGAGCTTGGACTTGTAGTGATAGTTAGACTGTTAGATTTGATTCATGGATACACTGTTTTAAATATAGAAGTAAAGGGATAGTTCACCCAAAAATGAAAATTCTGTTATCATTTGCTCACCCTAATATTGTTTCAAACCTGACTTTTTCCTTCTGTACCTTATTTCTGGATCACAAAATGAGAGACTGTTAAAAAAATGCACTGGTTGTTCTTTTTCTTGCAATTAAATTGACTAAATTTTCAAGCTTCAAAAAAGGATGCAAAAGCAATAAAAAACACAATTGATTCATATGATATGCACTATACTTCACATCATCTGAAGTAATACTATAGCTTTTGTTGACAAACCACAATTGAAATTTGTATTCACTGACTTCTTCCCACTAGTGAGCTGTTAACCACTGCAACCAGATCACTGAATTTCAGAACCGTATCAGTCCGTTTTTGTGTACAAATCCTTTAGGTTGGTTTTAGGTCTGATTCATTAAAGATCTGACTCAGTCATGAATCAGACATGGCTAATTTCATATGAAGTCTGATAAAAGATGTGCAGTGTTCAGTGACTTTTCAGTCAGTTCCTCAAACAAACCTTTCAGAAGACTTGAAAAACTAGACTTGAACTGTTCTTCAAAAATGTCTGTGTTCCACAGAAGAAAATCATACAGGTTTTGGAACGACTAAGGGAGAGTTTATTTTTGGGTGAACTATCTCTTTAATAATTTACCTCATTACGCTCCAAAGGTGAGCTAAAGCACCGGAGTCCATAGGAACTCATCCAGAACTAATTAAAACATTCCAACATAACAAAACACACATCTGATAGTGTACATCCCAGTATTCACGAGAGCGAGAGAGATAGAGAGCGAGCGAGAGAGAGAGAGAGAGAGAGAGAGAGAGAGAGAGAGAGAGAGAGAGAGAGA